TTTTCCTCTCTTCTGACAATAATGGGGTTTTTCAGCMAAAAATTACAAAATCAATTTTGCTAGAAAATTCGCCTCATTCATCGGTTTGCAGGGACCTTTAGRAAACCGATTTCAGCTTCGAATTTGGCACAAAAASCRAATAATTKTATTCAGTTTTTTACCGAAAGTMATTAGGATTATTTTGGAAAACCGACCACAGCAAAGTTTACAAAAAATTATTGGAAAAATTCGCCGCCCATCGCTCATCGCTCTGAAGATTATTGAAGTTCCTTTAAATTGTCAGGTCATTCCAGTTTTAACAAAGTTTCTATTAAGCAATTCTTTCTACGCAAAAATCGCAATATTTTTTAGTTTTACTTAAAATACTGATAATATTCAGGTATTTTCTGTGAAAAATTATAAGATAAATTTTAGTGGAACAATCGTCTCCTTAACCGCTTTACAAAAATTTTTGGAAAACCTTTTGCAGCTTCGAATTATGGACAAAACCCTAACAATTATTTCTGGGTATTTTTCCAAAAACAGTTTCCCCGAACTGAAAAAGCGAAAGTGTATAATCATTTATTTGTAAAACTCTTGGAAACTGGGGTTTCTTCACTTTTAGATCAATATTTCTAAACAACACTGTCTCTAAACAGAAAACCCGCGTTTCCCCTAACGTTTTACTGTAGAATACTGACGAACTGAATATTTTAGGCAAAAGAATTAAGAGATTGATTTTACAGGAAAACTCGTCGACATTCTTTGAACTCGCTTCTGTTGCTGGGAAAATCTAGATGACTTTTTTTAGTTGTTTGAACCAAGTTGTATGTTGTTACGCAGAAAAAATGTTAATGACCTTTTTTTAGATGTGAAAATTCCACTCTCGAGTATCGTAAAGCTTTAATAAATCACTTGACACTCATGACCCGATGAGTTATAACTCGTTAACTCAGAGAGCGGCAACAACTCAATGGCGCAACCCAACACAGTGTCTCCCAGGCCTATCGGGAGGCTGAGAAAAAGATCGGTACCGTAGCAGGCAAAGTGCCTAAAACCTGAATTTAAGAAGATGTGGTTTATTTTCTGGGGTCTACAGTGCTCAATGCCTCAAACAGTTGAAAAAAGTGTGGCAATAGTTTTGTATTTGTTGTTCAATTTTTTTAGTTATTTTCAAAATAATTAATAAATGTATATACTTTACTTTACTCCACTGCTGCTCAAATTTGAAATGAGCATTTCAAAAACAGTTAGCAGCCAAGAAAGAAAAATCAATTAATATCAACGTCCCGTATTTTGGAAACGAAACCACATGGGTTTTCCGACAAACTCATCCGATTTCTGATTGAATCACCCTGTATAAATACCAGTGTGAAACGGAAAACTCCATTGTTTGTCTACACCAAGTTACTAAGCTTTCCCACTTAAGTCTACTATTAGCAACGCCATAGAAGGTAAAGAGTAAAGTATCGCATGAAACATCCAAAATGCTGCAACATTTTACATAAAATAAGCATCGTTTTACTCACAGTGTTCTTTCGATGCTATCACAGTTGGCCCTTGGTGGAAAATTACCTTTCTAGGCCCTTATCGCTGTTATTATTGTCAAGTGACTGCTCGTTTTATCTTTGAGAGTATCGGGAGCACGGTGGAATGATTAATGTACGCTTGCAACGTCAATATAGGAAGTTGTTATTATTATTTATTGGCCGATATTGGAGGTGAATTTTCTAGCAGAATTTCCGCGATTTAGTCTAATAAATTATTTGAGTTAAATCATTTTAGTCATGAGGCAAAAAAATATGAATGTCATTACGAAATCAAAGTGAAATTTGCATTTGCGAGTAATAAAGCAATTATTTGGCAACAAATTGCAAAACATCCCGCCCAAAATGTCCGTAGAATTTTACTAATCCCGCTGGATCATTCGCTAAACGGTTGTAGTCGATTTAACATCCGAAACGAGTTCCTGCAAATAGTATTGTAATATCCTAAACACAAGCGCGTTGAAATTTATTTAAAACGGTTTGGTGTAATTTAATAAAACGCTCCGAAAATGTAAAGTTATTAAGGTAAAGGAGCCGACTCAGCGCGAAAAATAAAATGAAAGTTCTTTATTCTTTGCCGGGCCGCAACCCAAGTCGCCCATTAAAAACAACACATATTTAAAGCTGAGACAATTACGGAGAACCGTAAGTACGGGTTTCCGTATACTTAAACAGCGGCTGCATAATCCGCAGACACATAAACCAGATATTATGATATTCCTCAGCCTGATGAGATTCTTTAATCTTGGCAAGTGCTAAATTTTACTTGTTTTCTTCTGGAAAATTAAATTTCGGCTCGCACGAAAATTCCGTTTATATTTCCGAGGGACGCCACGTAATTACGCGGGATACTTTAAAGTTTTTCGGCCCGAAACTAGAGATGCTCGAGACGAAAACTTAAATTAACATCACCGTGTCTTTGCTACAACAGTATGAGTATTAATATGCAAAGTTGAAGGCTTAATCTAAGTTGATGATACAAGTATGAGCGTGATATGAATAAGCCGAAACCCATTCATTTTTGGGTGCAAACATTTCTCCAACACTCACTCTAACACAACTTCTTCATATCCTAACAGTGTTTCTCCCTCCATGCAGTTGAAACTCTTAAGGAGCTTATAGTGTAAATTCTAATGCAATTTTCTCCTTTTCCATCTCTATTTATTTGCTGTTGCTCATCTTCAGTGGACTCAATGAGAAAAAATCACAAAAATAATAGATTGAAAGGAACGAAGTTTAAAATTATAGTTATGTTGATCCTAACCGAAAACTCGCCGCTCATTTATTCAACTTGCCGACTCAGATGGAGGTGCTACTGTTGAGAAAAGCCAATTATCCCCGTTTTAATTACTTTTCAGTTAACACTTCCCAGCTTCCCTATCTTTCTTTTCCAGATTTAATTGCGCGGATTATTTAGCATTATTTTTTCAAGTCTCATTAATTTTCCGCACAAATTTCGCTCACAGTATTTCACTTTTTTCATTTTAACGCTCCGCTATCGAAAATAACCGGGAAAAGTGTTGTGGGACAACATCTCCATATATTCTGCAATTCGTTAATCTGCTGTCAGTCTAAATTTTCCTTTACAAAAGCTTTCCGAGCATTAGGAAAACAAAGAGAAAAAGTGACACGATTATTCCATTTCAAATTGATTTGATGCAGCTTATTTATGTATCAAATTCGACAGACGAGATTGTTTTGCTTGTCGTATACGAGGCTCAATAGTCCATCATCTATTAAGCAGATTGATAAAGAGTATAATTGTTTACCAATTACAGTAAATAAATAAATAAAAAAATTGAAAATAAATTAAATAACGAGTTCACAGCTTTTCCTCATAAATTTGAATAAATTTTAAATCACTAGTCTCACATCACAGTGCAAATTTCTCTCTGAAAAAATCATTGGAAAGACTCAGTCATTTATCACCGTTCAAAGAATTTTTGATATTTTCCGAGTAGGTTCAATAGCAGAAGACGTAAGCTCTACTAGCCTGCCAGACCACCGGATTTAATACCAAGCGAACTTTGATTCGTTCATTCTCTTTGTTAGACGGAGAGTAGTTGCAATGTTTTGCTGGTATAAAAGAAATGGAAATAAAATTCAAAGAAATCGAATTTAGCAAATTAGCAAGAATATTCAGGGAAGCAAAACTGCTTGACCGTAAAAAGGGGCTGCAAAATGGTGAAAAGCTGTTCGGAATAGCTGATCGGCATGGGGCAGACTGCGTAAACGGAAGTGATCGGAGTAATACACGTCTCCATCCAGAAAGAAGCTCTCGCCACTAAACGACTCTCTGAAGATTTCCAGATTAGATATTTTAGAGTTCGGAAGTTTAAATCGACTTTTTAAGACCCGCCTCGCTTCTTCCGACTCACTTAACGTGTACGTTAAGGCTTTCCAAGAGTTTACGCGCAATTTTTCTCTCTCTTCTCGGCTCTATTTAAGTTTTATTTACATCTGAGAAGGATTTTTATTATTCTGGGCGGGTGCTTTAGTTCGACGGGGGTTTAGAAAAGGCAGATAACCGACAGATTCCGGAGCACTTAGGGTTTACCCAGTCATTTAGTAAATTGCAATAATTCTAACTGGAAACCGCGAAATCATCGGTCGTAATTATTTATTTGCTTTAAGTAACGCATTGAAATGTAAGTCGCGATATTCAAAGTGCCTCAGATCCATTTGATAACCATTTGCATGAGGAGCCATCCAAACGACCCGGTTTCTTTGAGAGAAAGTCGCAAAATTTGCGAAAACCGAAAGGAAACTTTTCCATTTTGCGAGATGCGCTAATGAGAATTTGACTTGCAAAAGGTCCGCCAACTCGAAGTGACGAGCTGGAAGTCTCCCTTGCAATATTTTTTAGAGCACGACATTAAGCAGGTCTTTTTTTGAAAATGTATATTTGATGGAAAACCAGGAATTATTTTGTTGGTAAAACCAACTTTTATAAAAAACCAAGCTGTTTTCAAAACCCTTCTCTACTTAGACAACGCAAAATTGGCCCAAATCTAACATGTTGCGTTAAAAAAAAACTTTGCCCTTCAATAAAAACTATCAAATCGCCAAAGCCAGTCAACAAAAAAAACGGGTTTATTCACCGTTCCATCTCCGATCATCTCTCTTGTGTTCTTTTGAGGCGCAAAAACTTGAGCAGCGATTTTTCTGTCGAGATAACAAAAAGGCAGATTGAGCAAATGTCTGTGAGTTAAATGAAATTGAGTAGACTTGGAGGGCGGGCGCTATTTGCGGTGTACGTCAGGATTAAAATGCTTCAGATAAGGAAAAGGAATTGAGAGCCTTAAAGCTGATAAGCGAATATTGGGAAGCTGTTCTTTTAATAAAATTGCCTCACACTGAGTTACTTGAGAGGACTGATTGTTTCTAATTTTCTAACAGCATTTAGATGCTGAAGTAATAAATGTTTACGTCTTTGACACACCAGATAAAATAGTTTCAATTTTCATGACTTACCCATGTCCAAAACAATAAAACTTCAGCATCTCCTCAATACATCCATTCCTTGTTGCTGTTAATGAATTTTTCGGTTGAATTTTCCATCTGCAAAATGAAACAAGGGTTAAAAACATACATCCACTGATGAGTCCTCCAGCCTTGTTGGCGCTATTCATTCAACATAGAGATTCGAAATTAATATTTAAAAGCCCATTCAATCGCTTGATTTTAATTATAATATGGCAGCTATTATCATCGAAGCTTTTCTCCTATCTCTGCCATGCCCTAAAAAGCCCGAACTTGAACGGGCTCTTTTCTGCAAAGATAACAAAAAGGCAGATTGGAGAAATGTCTGGCGAAATTAAATGAGACTGATCAAGGATTTAGTCCTCAAGTACATCTGGTGCGATAAATTCTAGATTAAATCCTGGGATTAGATGCTCTAGTGGGATAGGAAAGTTAAAATGATTGCATTGTTTGAATGGCGGATAATCAGCGAAGATATCAAAACTGTTAGAGTGTGATTGAAAATTCGAATGGCGTTCGATTTATCCAACTTTTTATGTTAACGCTCATTTGGTTCAATTGCTCGTTGTCTAGAAAAAGTTAAGTCTAGGTTCGGCTTAAAACGGCTTCACATTGATCAAGCCTAAGACCGCCCGCTACATAAAAAAGCCAAGAGAAATCTATAAAAGCATCTCCTGAAAAGTGAACAAATAAAACTTCCAATATCCGTGATTTTCATGATTCCGATCCTATAACGTACACTGCTCGCAAATAATCCTAAATCTCCCGGAGCACCCGATAATATCATTTTCTTGTGTCCGAATATAACCAGTATATATAAAATGGCCTTTCAGCACTTTTAGATTGGACTTATCGATCCTCTTTGTAATATCACATGTGAGGAGAATAAAGCTCAATCATCCAAGCGTATCTAAATTCATTAGGTTGAGAGCAGGTTTCAAACTAAAATAAGTTAAAAATGTTAAAAATGTACTTCTAATCGAAAAAAAAGTTAGTGTTTCAAAATCAACATTTCTTTTGAACGGCTGAAAATTTCAACTACCTACTTACAACAATACGAAATGAATGATGTTTTATTTTTTATAAATATCCGCTTCTTTTGTTTACATTCAGCAACCTACACACGTTGTCAGCTTATTTTGAACTCCAGATAGAAGTAAGTTGGCAAAATAAGAAATCGTTCAAAGCTGCGTAAATATCCATATCTCCAGAGACAGAGGGATCGAATCTGATATCAGGTGTGCACGGGCTTCACTCTCTCCCTTAAAAAGCGAATTCCCCAGAGTTGGAAACCGTTGCGTGTATTCGAAAGCTGCCATGCGAATAGAACGAAAGGAGATATTACCCTCAACTCAAGTATTAAAATACAAATTTTCAAAAGGAAATGCGGAAACGAACGAAAACTGGTTTACCTTTGTAAAAAGCAACGAATTTTACATGAAAACTATTGTCAGCTTCTTCGTGTCTTGCCCACTCTACAAGAATCTCCATAATATATGACCTCAAAGATTAGTCGGGGCATTTATTTCAAATTGGTTCTGTATCTCGGAAAGAGTGGCAGCAGCCAATAAAACAATCTGCAGAGTGGCTTAGAGTGTAAAGCTCGCACTCCAATTCCCGGCTGGTATGGCAATAAGCTGTTTCACCATTTCGAGCTGAATTTATTTCGGTTGCGAAATACGACAAGGCGATATAAATCTCCGTGTTTTATCTGCGCTTTCAGGTTTCAATTACACAAAAATCGTTTAATTGAACTAAAGCCGAATCGACAGTCGAATGTGAGCGGGCAAAGGGACCTCCGTCTTTTCTTATTCAAGGTGCCACTTGAGAAATGAGAAATCAACCACATTGACTAAACTAAATAAATAAATTGAATCTAAGCCCAATGATCAAAAAATCTGATTCAATCAAAATCAGTCTGATCAAAATTAGATTTTGACTAGTAGTTGAAGCATGGGAAGTCACGGTTCGCACACGTGCAACATCTAATTAAATTGTAAAAAAAACAGCGCCACTTGAAGAAAAAGAGCAAGAAATTCTTCAACACAGCATTTGAAAGAATCGAATTGTTTTAAAATGGCTCTGACTTTTTAAACAAAATCCAAATATTTACTTCCTATGTATGTCACAGAAGTTGCCCGGCGGCAGATTCTTCGATGGATGGAACAGATCTCAAAAGTGGAACTTATAACGCCCTCCGGGCAACTTTAACTTTAAAATTTCGTAGAATTTACTTGGAAGAACCAGCACATGAAGCTCCCAGTATTTTATATCAGCCAGAGGATTCAATTACTTGAAAATCGCTTAATCGAAACCTTCGACACGAACTATTTGCGATTGTTATATGGATACTCCAGCTGTGCAAAGAATCATAATGTTCAGTACAGTACAGTGAGAAAATTGATACAAGCTCTATTTTGGAGTGATTGATTGCACAAATTAATTGAAAGTCCGCGGTAAACTGCTCCAACTAGACTCCGATCTACCATGTAGTATTTCTTAATGTGCATGGATAACATATACAAGGCTTAATCAAACAACGAATGACTTGTTGGTCTGTTATTCCAGAATCCGCTGTGAGAAATATTTGATAGGAATTTTCGACCGAAAATCAGATGATATAAATCTTGACACCATTGCCCACTCCAATTAGAAGAATCGAGAAAATAAATAAGAAAAGAAACAGGCTGGCATCACAACTTAATGGTAAAAGGCCTTCGCTGTTGCAGAGCAGCCATTCCCTCTATTCACCGTTAGAGCTCAGGTTTCAATTAAAAGATTCCCGTGTAATTGAATCCTCGGGCCCGAAATAAAACATTCGGATTTATCTCTTCTTGAGCACATAATATATCCCGGAACGAACGAATTATTGAGTTTCGAATTAAATTGACATTGTGCTACTTTCGAACATTAATACGAAATATCAGTGAGTAATATTTTTATGCAAAACCATTTCTAGTGCTCTTTCAGTGACAAAGCGACAGCCGTATTTTCCGCCCCTCGACTTTTCCAATAAAATCGGTCATATTATGTTCGGTACGAAAGTTCCATCGTTTTATTGACTACAATAACTTATTTTATAGCTGCGGAACACGTGACGCTCTTGTGAGAGTTCACCAACAAAGTATCCCGGATTCTGGAACGGGCTCTTAATGTGCCTTTGGGGAACAGATACCGATGATTTAGGACTTTCAAATGAAAGATTTTAAAAACAATTTTACTCGCTGTTTACAACCATGCACCATGCGGATTTGGCGAGTGAGAGAAATTTTTTTATAGCCGGTCAAATAATTGAAGCCTTCTGAAAAAAGTAGGCAAAAACAATAAAAAATGAAAATCGAAGTGAAAAAAGATTCGATATCCTTTAGTCATAAATCATTCCGGTCACGGCTGGGGTTAAATCAAATAAAAGGACACAGTTTTTAGCCCGACCAGCTATCCAAAAAGTTGGCAAAGTGCAGTGGCGTATCGAAATTCCGAACTGCTAAATCAACGACGCTAAATAATGTTATTATAACAAGGCGAAGTTAAGAGGGTCCCTCCGGACCTTGTTCCTTTATCCATTACCCTGTTTAGTTCAGTAATAAAATTTTCTTTATCGCCCTTAACACCTCATTTCCTTTCGATCCTCAATAATTTTCCGTTATTTTCGAGCCACGAAAATGAAGGGCACCATTTTCCTGATAAGGAATGGTCTGTTGTTTTATCGCGACGTGAATAATTGTTCTTACAGCTCAACAATAATTAAGAATGGTGGGCAACTTTTTGAATAAACGCGAAAATTGTGATGGAACAAGTGAGGCGACAAGGCGAAGATTAAACCCCGTTCTTAGCTTATGAGTATTCCGAAAAGGAAATTACCTGACGTTGGCCTGGAACACAATTTACTACATATTACGGAGCTGCCGCACATTAATGCTTCTTCTATGCCGCTTCCCGTCTTTTCAATTCATCCTAACTACCCATTCAAATTACAAAGTTGATACTATGTGCACAGCATTACCGTCCGTCGCGTCGCAATCCTGCGGACCAAAATCCACATGTGAAAATTTATAAAACGAACCTGCATTAATAACGAAAATACAACGCATATCATCAAATGATAAATGTTTTAAAGAGGCATTATTTCACTTAAAAGAAGAAGCAATTAATGAGTACTGGCACAAAGCTTGCTGGGAAGCGCACATTTTCAATTAAAAATAGTTCGTCGTTTAAATACTTGCAAGACTGCTCAGTAAATGTTATTATCACCCCATTAAATTTTACTAAATCTGTGTATGTCCACCCGAAAATTCTAAACCGAAATAAAGCTAGCAACGCCTGAAGTTTAGTCCGCGTTTTGTAGATTTCGAACCTCAGCGTCGTTTTCAACTTTCCGATTGAATAACAAGAAACTATCGAGCTGAACGGCAGTTAGAAGATTACCTACTGAGCAAACACGATTTCTCTTGAACCAAGAAACAAAAGCTAGATTGGCTTCGGAAAATAGAATCCCTCACTTTTTGTAGTCGAAAGACTTCTGCTTAGCAAAATGATTGATTGCAAGTCAAGTATTTGAATAATTTTCAGACTTTGCCAAATTATAGAAGCATTCATCACACATAATACAAATATGAATATATTTGACTTCAACTTGCTTCAACTAAATTTATTTGTTTCACGCTGATGCGACTTAAAAACTACAGAACGTTTTGCACCTTCTCCAGCAATTGACACAAATTTGACTTAATCGGATTAATTTCAATTTTGTTATTGTTTCTACCAAGAGACTTAAGGGCAATTAAGAAATTTGCGTCGAAAAGTGATTAATTTCAACCGGAAACCTTCAGCTGCGGGAAAGTATCCAGATGTCTGGCTTCTCAACCTTTAATAGAAATAAATTTCCAGATTATTCTTTTCGCATTGTTTTAGTGGAGGCGCTAATGGAATAAAACGGAAAGTAGATGGAAAATGCCTTTATGTCTCAGAAGCTGAAGCTGAAACTCATGGACTCGACGCTAAGTTTATTAAATGTTACTTTTGGAATTTACCTGTTTTACCTCAACTATTCCGTACTTTCGAGCATTGTGCAAATATCT